CTCTCTCTCTCTCTCTCTCTCTCTCTCTCTCTCTCTCTCTCTCTCTCTCTCTCTCTCTCTCTCTCTCTCTCTCTCTCTCTCTCTCTCTCTCTCTCTCTCTCTCTCTCTCTCTCTTTCTTCTCTCATTCTCTCTCTCTCTCTCTCTCTCTCTCTCTCTCTCTCGCGCGCTGATAACTATTATCGTATATCAAGACTGCAGGTGCGTGCATCTGCAAGTGCGTTCTCGCGTTTGCCGGATCTACTCGGTGGACTCGTTCGCTGCCTCTTCTCTCCTCGCTACCGATCTCGATCTTTATTATTCCGACGATGGGGGTTCTCGGACTCCGATAAAAATGCGTCAAGGCCAGCTCCCTCAAGGTCGGCCAAGGAGCTCCTCTCGCAATTCATGTATACTTAATTGAAGTGTACCAAAGAAACGTTTCGATTATATCTTAGGCGCGTCCCTTTGATCTCGACCCCTTTCTCCTTTCCCGGCTATTTAAAGTTCGTACCGTTATAACAACGCCGCTCGTATATGCGACGCGGGCGAGACCGTAAGGAAAGGGTTGATTTTCTCGCATCGTCAAAACTAAGGCGGGACGATCGTTCGCGCGAATTATCCTAGCAAATGTGATCGAGGTCGGTTTCTTCCGGCTTGATCTTCGGCTTCCGCTTCGGTTCGAATCCTATCTTCCGTTCAATCGTCGCACTGGTAGCGTATCTTCATTTGCGAGCACCGGAAAGGATACCGTTTCTCCATTCCTCCACTTGTCGATCCGTTAATCCGCTCGTTCGTCTAATCGTCGGTCCTTCAATCAGCTCTATATACACCTTCTCTCGTGCGTAGTTTTATCTCAAATAGATCAATATACACCTCGTTCTCCAACTTGAAAGCTGCCTGTCTTTATCACCCTAAGTTCAGCTGCCATTCGTTCGATTAACTCGACGTAGTTAAACTTCCTGCGTTATTCCCTCGAGATTCTTCCTAATCATAATATGGACGTCTGTTTCCAATGATAAAGCGTAATGTCTCGTCGCTCTTCCGCCGCCATCCTTCGGAAGTGCACCGCGTAATTCTCCAATTTTTAATAATACTTTCGTGCGTACTCTTTCGACAATATTCCGAGCACAACGCGTACTTGAGTTTTTCTATTTCGGGGGGAGGCCATCAAGGTTCCCCAAATCTCTGTACTTCTCTCGTTTTCCATATAATCGCTATACTCTCGATATATCCGCTTTAATACCCTGCAACAAACGCTTCTCTCAACTCGCCTATGCCCAGCCAACTCGACCATAACGTCACCAATCGGCAACCTTGATTTCTCGCGAATTCGGAAGAAGTGTGCCCAATAAATTAACGGGTGCCCGTCTTGCAGTCCCTTACATCGAGCAGAGTCCCGGGTTTTAAGCTCTTCCTCCGATCCCTCGTACACCTTCGATCCTCCGGGATTTTACGGAGGCGTCGCTTCGCACCCCGGAGTGGAGGACACGATCCCTCCTATACGTCTCCGCTACATGGACAGGTTTGGAGACGGAGGCGGCGGTCGCTCGACGCGGCCGTGGAGGGACGCGACGAGGCCGTGATTTCTGGCGAGGTCCTCCCGGCGGTCCCGCGTAGGACCCGCTTGTAGG